ACCGTGATATCAATTAAATATTGACACACGAGCAATCCGGATAAAGCAAGATTTCTTATGAAATAGGTTCGCAGACCTGTGCTCTTTGGGTGTGGTACCCCGACAAAAATTAATTTCAAACTGAAATACTAATCGTTTACAGCAAAGTAAACGTCCAAATGAAAAATCCGCAAAGCGGCCCAATATAAGTCACAGAAGAACCAATCATCCTGCTCCTTACCTTATTTCTTTCTGCGGTTCATTGCTTATTTAAGATGCAACTGAAAATGGTTCGCGGAGAGTTACACAATTTGTAAGGAATTAATTCCCGCGAAATTGTGAAGGAAGGGTAGCCAAATACGATTCTAGAGACAATAGTGGGGAAAAAAACGAGCATCAGTGCCTTCGGTAGGACTTAGTTTTACTTGAGTTTGCGCGACAAAAGTGGTGTAGGAAACTAGCGGATTTGATATCTTTTTCCTGTTTTTGAGGTTTAGGTATTGTACAATTCTTTTAAGCTTCAGACTTGTACCTTTACAGGTGGATTGCTTCAGAAATTCAAATAATTAATTTTTCTATTTTAAGCTTGAAGTACCGAAATTCCCCAGGCACTCAAAAGCTCCGCAAGTTAAAACGGATGAGTGCTTATGATATATTATAATGACGTCATATTGCAGGTACCCGGAAACGGGCAGGAACGTTGCAACACATTTTAATCTGCATTCCCAAACGACCAAATGCCCGCACCTTTTCATCTCTGTGAAAAATATTTCATCTCCCATAGTTGATTAATAATCTTGCGAGCAACATTCAACTTGAGTTTGGTTCCTAATGTGATTATCAGTACCCCCCCCCCCCTTCCCATCCTTCCACCCCTGAGATCGTCTCTCATCCCGTTACGCATGAACTGCTTGGTGTCATCTGCCGGACAAAATATGATGAGATTATATTTGCCGAGGTATTATCTCAAGCTTGAATCAAACAAAATCAAGGGAGCAAGTTCATTTTTAATCATCCGAGCTCTGAAATTGTTGTGATACTGTAGCGATATCTTGTGATATACAGCCAATACACATGGAGTAGCTTTTGAAAATCTATCTATTCCTTTGGGCGTTTTATTAAATTGTTGTTTTATATAGCCCACAACCAACCGAATGTTGCTCTAGGCAATGCTTAACATTCTGATGCAGTGTGCATGCGATACGGCTGACATTATATTGGTATCATGTGTGTCATGATGGCTGAGCATCTGGAAATGTTTTCATGTGTCAAACAAGTCTCCAGATTTATGATTGGTATGTGTTTCTCTCACTTTGCGGTATGCATGCTGATGTTTCAGATTATGCTTTAATTTTCGTGTCAATAAGGATTTAGGCGAAAGAAGGTCTGGTTGTCAGCAGCTCGGTCTCTTTAGTTAATGGTTGAACATCTGAAAAATGTTTTCATGTGTCATACAACATTTTCTTTATTCTTATGTTTGGTTTGTATTTTTCTCACTTGAAGATGTGGCCTTTTACTTATTGCTTTTCAACTTTTCAAGAGAAGTCAGATAACAGAAAGCTGATTATAGGTTGCACAACCTTGTTTGAGGTAACGTCGCCTACGCGATATAGGGTACCACCCTTTTCGAGCCTCGCTTTTCAGCACAGACATGCAAATCCCAGCTTGCACAACTGTTTTCAAATGGAGGACTTGCCCAGATCCGCACTGTCATTCAGCGTGAACCGCTAAGTGGCCGGGCCGAAAATGACACGGCTACACATTAGCATCATCGGTAGTGGATCCCCGAGTTGAATCGCTGTAATTACATGAAATGAAGCAGGGAAATGAAGGGCTTGATGTGAGCCTCGATTTCCAGGGCAATTCTACCCATCTCTCTTAGTCAGCTGTCGGGTCCTGACAGCTGCAATCAAGTCCTATACGGTTGGAGCTTTGTTTTTGTTGCAGACATTTTGAATGACTGAACTTGGGGAGGTTGCGTAATTGCAGTTTCACCCCGTCCCGATTTCGTCCATGGGCCTCTTCAAATCCCGGAATTCGTTTTGTCTTCGTCTTCAGAGGCCTCTGACCTCGGCAACTCCGGCTAAATGATGGTGCATGCTCTGCTTCAGCAACATTCAATAATATGATATATAATGCTATTTGGTTAGAATATTTAGCGTTTGTATGCTTCCCTGCCAGTGATCAAGAAGTGGGCGATAAACCCGAAGCCGAAAACAAAAGGTAGGTTTCGAAAACAAACCCTATAATACTATTCGAAACGCAAAATGGCAAGATGGCAAGATGCACCAACCCACCTTTGTCTAAGTCAACAGAAGTGTCGTTTATTCCTCTCAGACACAATATTGTTATTGTTACAACCATCTCCAAACCTGTAGTCACAATAACCATGCTTAAGACACAGCGTGATTTTGTATTTCCTTTGTTACAAAAGCATGCTGCATTATACATGTTGGGTCTTTGTTTTTTCGTCACCAAAGGAGAAAAAAGGCAGTACAAATAAACTGACTGCAAATAAATTGATTAAAAACCAACACCAATCGCCCTGCCCTTTACTATCGAAACTTCTTGTTTCGTTTCAAACGAGGCACGCTTTAATAAATATATATAATGTGGTGTTTATACCAATGTCTCAAAGCTCATCACAATTTTAATCAAAGAGTGCACCCTTAAAAATGGCCTTTCTAAGTACCTATTAAGTCAGTTTATACATTTCTCAAGTAGGCATGCGCAACACTACCAGTGAGTCAGTATTTCATCAACCTCGTCCCCAGTGCTTACTTTATTTCCAACCGCGTTTCCAATAGTAAACCCTGGATAGGAAACGTTCTTCCTGTATCCTGATTGGATACCGCAATTGGCTAGTAATGGATTTTTATCGTGTACTTGGTGCTTTATATTCACAACGTGCAGTACGTGTTTTCGCGATCATTCGTCCACGCCTTCTCGAAAATACTAATTTCCTTTCCAATTTGCTCATATTAATATGAAATATGATACTGCATGTTGTCTCGATAAGATCGTAACAGTTTGATTTCAAAAATCGTGTTTTCGTAACTCACGCCGTGCTCGCGCTGCGACAAATTGACTCTGTTTTTACCCCAGACACCGCATACAAAAACAAACGCTAATGTATAACGCATATCCAGGCACCAGACTGTTCCTCATTTGCATACGTGTGCAAAAATCTTGCACATGCAAATGATCCAATACAAAGGTGAGAGAGCAGGTAGTGGTGGGCGCGTACTGCGCGACACCCTGGGGACGAGGTTGGTATTGCATAGACCTAAATTCACATTACTAGACAGCTGCGTTCTGCGCCACATCGCGCGCGTACGCGCGCACCAATCTCCATATAAGGAGCAGTTTACGACTTTTCGCGATATGGACATTCCATAATTTAGCTAGATGGGTGTTTCGAAAACATGAAGTAAAATTGTTGAACAAATCGTTGCAAATATAAAATTTTTGACTTGTTTTGACTTTAAGACCGGCAAATTTAGATTTGTTTGACCGAAAAGGTATTAATGAACGGGAATAAATATGTGCTTGGCCGGTATTAAATACTATGACTAGTTGGAGTCTGGATGCTGATAATTAACCGAGCCGAATATTATACGCACTGACGACAATAATTGGTAGTGTAAGCTTTTAGAACCCTTCACATCGCTGTGAATCATGTTCTCAGCCACTAATGCGCTCCAATCCCCTATTAATCATTCAAGAAGATTGATGACATTGTGTTAAATGCGACTGCGATGGCAGATCTAGAGAGTGTATGTTGTGATCACGACGACGTGTCCAAACTTTGTACAGTAACAAGACAAAAATGACTAGATTTTACAGGGAAAAAAATCATCCTAATCATTCTAATTTGCCAGCGCGCAAACTTAAGAAGATGTGGTATCCAATAAATGTGTTTTTTTTTTATTTCCCCATGCCATTCCAATTTGAAAACCCGTGTACGTACTCACTATCCGTAACTGGGTTGTCACTTTCATTTCTGCTCATGTGCGCCTTTCTCTTCAAATGTCGATGACGGTTGGCACCACATAAATTAATTTTCTACATTCCCAAGAGTGCTCCCCCAATATTCCGAAAGAACTATCATAGAGAACGTGCTTTATTAAAGGGTGCCAGAAAAATTATGAGCATGGCCGTGTTATATTGCACGTGGGTGCAAACCTATCCAAATGGGTACGGACATTCGTGACATTTGATTGAAGAATGTGCTCGATGGAGCTGAATGAGCCTTTTTAATTACATTACCCATCGCATAATGATGTAAAAAAAAACATTCATGTTTCGCTAGATAATGACTGAACAACATGACTTGATCAGGAATGTGAGCTCATGTCACAGCAGGTAATTCTAAATATACATTGGAATAAAGACAATAAACATTTCCATATTGTGTAATAACTATTCGAGATTTGAATAGTGACATAAACTCTTTTTTTAACGAATGCATTTTTTTTTTATTGGACCCCAAGCGCAATGCGCAGAAAACGCAAAAGTGTTCCGTTTTTGTGTGAGTAAATGTCAGGGGACATTCAAGTATCAAAGACACTCCAAAGGCTACATCAAATTGCACTGGGTGATTGTCCCCTGTTGGCGGTGTTTTGGTGAGATTTTTTTCTCTCTTGGCCTGCTAGGTATATCGTGTGACTCTATTGAAAGGATCTGACTTACTGTTATTCCTGACGCAAACTTCATACAATGGAAATAGCTTGTTTTGTTTTGTTTGTTAGAAGAAATTGTAACTGTCGTAATCAGGGTGATCAAGGGTCAACGCTTTCGGGTGCGCACGATGCTTGAGCACAAAATACACGCGGTAAGCTACCCAAAAATACTGTGCGTTTCCTCTTCAGTGTTTGGTGTAAAGAGATCATTGACCAGCATGATGCAATGGGTTTAGCCTAAGGGTTCACATCGAGGTTTTCAATTTAAGCCCTCTTTCGAACGGTTCCTTTGCCGTAGTTATTGCATTCGCTTTCCTTATCATATAATTATGGACTTACCGATTGTACTGATGACTGTCAGAGAAAACAGCATAGAGCCGACGAAGGACCACTTCTGTATTTTTACTCCATCTACCTCCAAGTCGTAGTTATAGAAATGGATAAAGTCCTTCTGGAGTAAGTTCAGTTCATAAAGGGCCTGCTCCGTCCAGTTTTCCCTCTTCATAACAGGAGCTGCCTCGTACATCTTCATGAAGAAGATCTTCTTGTCGGCCCTCATATCACTCCTCATTCGCGTCTCGACAGGGGCCTCAATGGCTTGGAACACGAAGGCGCCGAAGACCAGGTAACCTGCGAGGATGGCAGTCAGACCTACGTAGGAGCAGATGAACTGGAGGAAGATGCGCATGTAGTAGACGCACTGCGCCTTGAGGCTCCTTCGTTTAGGGGTAGGTGGGACCTCCACGAGGGGCGCATCGTCTAACTCAAGCACCGTAGGTGCCGGGGCTGGTGACTGGGCTACCAACCCCGCTGGATTGGAGGGGAGGTTTTCCATCGGGATGCCCTCCATTGTCAATGTCCACTGTTAAGGTTCGAACACTCGGAGCAAGTATCCACGAAGCATGACTCCTGGGTATTCTAACGAAAGTGGGGAGTAATAATTGTCGTTCGGTGTCATTCTCCTTTGATATTTGCAAAAGAAACCAATCGGAAAGCTCACAGAATACCAAAGGTTTATCGTCATATAACCAGATAATGTCAGCCTTTGATCTTACAGCCAACAGAGCTTAAATACCACCATATAAATATTGTTTAAATGGTTAAATGTCTTCTCTTACGTCAAAACAAATATGTCTCAGCCCACGTTATAGATGTATAGTTAATTCACTATACCACGTGTATTTGCAACGAAGCATACATACGTAGAAATGAACAGACGGCATCAGTTATACCTCGCGTGGATCAGTGAGGTACATTGCTATGCTTGACTGGTCTCATCTTTTTTCCAAGGCAAAGCGACTGCACGCTAACATCTGTGTATGGATTCCGTCGCGTGTCAGCATAGATGACTGGTTTTGCGAAGAGCTGGGTGTCGAGGCTACTCGAGCCAGGGTATTGCCCGCCCCCACTCACCGCCTGGTGGTACACTCACTGCTGCCCAGTGGTGCTTAGTCGATAGCCTGGGTTCGCAGTCGAGGGCAAGTGCAGCAGGACTACTGTCAAATATTGATCCAAGAATAGCTTTGAACGTCTAGGGCGCAGTGGGCATGAAATGTGAATTACGGTGCCAGCGTGTGGGATGTAGGGGCCCGGTGTCCACAGAATGCCAAACTGACGTGAACTGAACTTCTTGAAAGCTCACAAGTCCTCCTGCGCGTGGTGTGTGCAGTAATTGTTTCAAAATTAAACGTAATACTGTCAGGGAGGGTGCTGGGTATATTTGCCCGCGACTGGGGTTACTCGCAGCGGGCAAGAAGACAAATAGAAGGGGATGAGCTCGGGCAATCGAATCGTTAATTGATTGACATTTCACTGCATCTCCCGCCGAAGCAGATTTAAAACGGTGGCTTTACTCACGTCAGTCTCCAGGAAAATGTTTGTCCAGCTGTAGAGTTGTATTGTTTATGGAAATCGACAGAATTATTGTAACAAGGGCTTTCCATTGAAAATACAAACGCCTCTGCAGGACAGAATTCTTCCTTTACCGCGTTTGATCCTAACAATAGCAGAATGCAGGTCCGTGCATCTTACTGGCACCAGCGTTTAGAGTAAAGAACACGGTCGCAAGACTTACTCTACCTTTGGACCTTCCACAGTTTTGATGGATCTCGAAATGGCTCCTGGCACCGATGGTGCTTCCTTCAGATATCAATTAATAGGATCCTCTGACCATAGAGCTAATTAGTAGCACGTAAACCTTTGCCCAGCTAAATCAAATTAAAATAGTAGAGCACGCCTATCATCACTCACGCGCAACTTGATTGTCCCTTGTTCCATAGGACCTGATGGCGCGCTTGTTCTACCAGAAAGGAAAAAACAATCTCCAACTGTATCACCATCGGCACCAGACGAGTACAGTGTCAGCTATTATTGGCTAACCGGTACAAGGTGCTTAGTTGCGATGAAATTCTTCGGGGATCGTGGAGAAATTTCTCCCGTTGTAAAGTGGCCTCTTGAAGACGTTTCCACAGCCCACAAGGCGATTACTGGAGGATGGCTATCAGTGTGCAATCGCTAGTTTCGAGGTTTTCTCCTTTTTGCCTTTCTGTGCACCTCTTTGCAAAAAAATTAAACGGAGCACAGGATTTTAAACATGCAACTCAACGGCTCCTTTATGAAGAAGTTAGTGCCGAGTTGACAGATCCACCATTCACAGCACAATAATGATGATGAGCCGACTGCGCCTGTAGCAACCTTGGATGCGTCAAATAGTTTGTTAGGAACTTTCTCCAGATCTCCACCAATAATTCACGTCACACGTAAGCTGATGACTCGTTCAGCAGACACACTCATACAACTTTGACGACGAGCATCACATCAGGAGGAGGTGTTCGTGCACAAGTGTAGACAGACTGCGAGCAGTGCCTGCACCGATGTATACCAACTATAGCCATCTGGCAGCTACGTCATACTCTACCAGTACACGCGCATTGGCCGTGCTATCTACTGCAGTAGATAGCAGGGCCAATACGCGCGAGTGGCCTTAATCTTGTCATACGCTGCACTGGCAGTGACGATGTGAAAATCATTAAAGTGATTTCATATCAAGGTTGGCAATGTGCAACATACATGGGGTACATGCTCATGCATATCTGTTTGTTCGTGGGGCTACTTGTGAATCTGGCCATAAGCATCTGCCTGTATGCTTAAAGTGGGCTCCAATAATATTGAAGCACATGTTATTCTTTGGATATCCGTTCGTAAGATTTATTTCATTTTTTCTGTGCTCGAGTGTACATTACGGCTTGTTTTTCATAAATATTTCCTCCTTGCAGCTCAGCAGCTCAACATTCAATTCAACTATGTAACCTTTCCTATCTGCGGAAGGACGGATCATAAGGTCGCATGCAAGAAATTCATGCCATCGTGCTAAGTGGGAATTGTCATTAAATCACTGTGCTCGTCTGAAGTACAATGAACGTGTTTAAAGGAGAAAGAGTGTTATGTTTAATCAGATCATAAAACTACAAAAAAATGTTCACTGATTTAAGGCAATGAAGTCTAACAAACCTGACAACATATGCTAACCGTAAACACAGGGTTTAAAAAATAAGAAATACATTCACACCAATATTATATTGGTAAATTAATTTTTTTTAGCAGGTCTGTCTCTTTAATGTATATTAAACATGTGATTTTCTTTAGGTAGATCTATCTGTTGTGTACAGTCTACGTTCAAGGTGAGAAAAAATGAAAGTGACCAAATTAGAAAAATGTAGCTTGCTCCATTTCACAAAAATAACAGGGATAGAGTACATGTTATTGACTAGTAACTGTGAACATTTCACGTAATATAATTTGCATATTCTATTCCGAAGTTATGTCTATTTAAATGAGAAAAAAAATCACAAAATTCAGCTGTCCACCAATGATCATTTACCGTTCTAAGAACTGATGGATACTCATTAAACACAACGAAACATAAACGTTTCCCCACCTCCATATATGAACGAAATCTTGCAAAGGAAAACAGACCAAAAAATGGCCATCAATTTCATAAAAGAAGTTGACTTGCTCCTCAGATTCAAAGCACAAAATCAGACAGTTACAGCAATGTTTTAGTCTTGACTCAAATGATTACAGTCTCATTTGAATTTGAATGCATGTGTGTAATCAACTCAATATCTTCCAATGGCATTCCGTGGACAGCTATAAAGAAATAGTTCCTTTTAGTAAAACATGCATAACTTCTGATAGCGTTGACCAATTTCAGTATTTTTTTTTGCAGATGAGTGGAAGAAATGTTCTTTCCAGAAATACTTCATTCGTGTATCAAATTTAATTGCTTTTTAAGAACAAAAATCATCAACCCAGGTCATTTTTGTTTTGACTCACTCACGGTACATGACGAAAGCTAGCCCAATGTCATGGTTTTGCAACCACACAATCATTCACTTATGATCACCATCCTGTACTGGAAACACTCAGTATTCTGCACCAGTCCACAGCTGTATGCAAAAAATCCTAGTAGTTGGATGTACGCATGTGTATTTTCCAAATTCCTCGCAAACCCGCATGAGATATTCTTGACCGTTAATTTCTGATTGTATATAAAGTTACAGCAAGGCAAAGCAAAACCAGTCCTGTTTTGAAATTAGAGACTTTGCTGGTCATTAAAAACCAAAATAGCCCAGGACAACCAAAGGGGAACTGCGGGTCATTAAGCTTACACACGTCGATGGTAGTGACAATGAAGGTTTGGGACCTCGTTGAATGTTGATTGTTTGTGGATAAGCAGACATAGATGGGATCAACCGCCCCTCGGCCGATGGGATGTAGCCCTTGTCATCACAGTGGTAGGCCTAACTGATACCTTTAGCAATGTGACGTCAAACAAGGAAAAAGAGGATAGAGTGAATGTGTACTGACAACGACTGTTCCATGAAGGGATCATACTGATATTTCTGATAGTATTAACATAGCCTTCATAGGCACATTGCTCCAAGTACGTAATTATGTGTACGATACTAAGTGGAATTTCGTGCTATTTCAATTTATCAGTATTATGAATCTCTGAAGTAAGACCAGGGATTCCTCAAAAGCGACAAAAGCACTGTAACTTTGCAGAAAAAACGACGAAGTAATGTTTAGATTTGGAGATGGGAGATGGACCTAAATATTCCTGAAACCCACGGAATCAAGCAGAGACTAACAACCTAAACCCCATGCAACTCTGGGCGGAATGAAACACAGGTCAAAGAGGAAAAGAGAGGACACACTGCGCCGAACATTATGCAATGTGTGTTTGTTTATTTGTTTGTTTGTTTTGGTTGATGAACATTTGATATTTTCTTGGTGATGAAGTTATATATAAATCCAAATGCCTTACTGTAATCATATCGGTCAGTGCCATATGTGTTGGTTGGTTCCAATACCTTTGTTTGTTTTGATCACTATTAAATTCGGACAACCCTCAAAGTAGTCTTGCAAGCATGAATCACCTCGCCCTACTTGTAGCCGCTTACAATTATGTAACGCAATCAGGCGGTGCGCTACGTGTTGTTTCCGTTATTAGTCTCGCAGACCTGACTCCAACAAATGGTAGAGCCATTTCAGGAGGTATTCACCTGGATATTACTGGGTGTCGGGAATACAAGACAAGAGGAAGGCTGTGATGAAATGTGGCAGACGGGATGTACACGGAATGATCCAAGGCAATTTAAGCTATGCCTGACGATCTAATATCAAGATGTGTGGCGGACGGTAAACGGACCGTTTTGTTATCTACCGGGACACAATGATTACAGAACGCAGGAAGTTGAGCCCCTCGCGTGAGCTTTCTTAAGCTGCAGTTCAACTCAATTCAGAATGGTCTCCTTTCTTATAAATTAACAGCTTCAAAGTGTCTAT